AATGTAGGAATTTGCAAAACAACTGTTCATTCTCTTAATATAATCCAATACATCAATTGCTCCAAAAATGTTTGCAAGTATCACTGCCCTTAAAACTTTCAACTCAGAAAATAATTATATTCCAGCAATATCAGAAATTGTATTATGCTTCAAGTAATTTTCAAGTTTAATGCAAGAACACCTCAAAACATCATCATCAACAGATTTAAGTCTTTTCAAATCAAATAAAAATCCAAAAGTATTATCATATTTCTGAAATTGCTCAAATCTATTCTGAAGTGATGATAGAGCTTGATCCACTATATATATATATATATATATGAAATAATTGATCTTAAAAGATTCTTCAGCTGTTTATATTATCTCTTTAGAAGAAATCTCATCAAACTGCTTTTTTCTATGTATAACTTTTACAAAATTTCGGTTCAATTTCTAATTCACTTACAATTTCTTTAGCATCAACCATGGTCGATTCAAAACCAGATTCTCTATAACTTTTGAAAAATGAAATGAGGCCTTTTAAATGATCTATGGCAACATCAATATGCATGTCTTCTTCTTGCAAATGTTTGCTTACTTTGTTAACATTATTCAACACCTCATACCAAATAATCATCCCAAGCAAGAATACAAATTTGTTAATTTCATATGTTACCAAACACTCTGCCTCACTTTTTGTCTTAGGATCATCAACATTTGCTAATTGAAATAATACTTTTTTTATCTGTGAAGTTTGAAATCTTATTGCTCTAACACTTTCAATATAGCTTTCCCAACGAGATTGTGACAAGGGCTTAAGGGTAAGACTAGTTACATTTTCTTTGAAAATTTTCCACCGTTTAGTAGATGAAGAAACTAAAGTGTATATACGTTGCACCGACCCATAGAAAGATTTAGCTTTTGAACAACAAGTGGCCATATCACAAAGTGCAAGATTAAGACTATAACATCCACAAGGACAATAGAATCTTCTAGGATTTAGTTGTAATAGTCTACTTTGAACTCCTTTATATTGTCCTTTCATGTTAGCACCATTATCATAATCTTGACCCCTTACATTGTCAATATCAAGTTCTAGATTATTCAAAACATCCACCGGTTTATCAAAAAGTTTCTTACCTAATGTATCATCCAACAATAAAAACCCTAAAAACAATTCTTCAACATTCACTGGACTCATCGAAATATCTACACACCTCAATATTATAGACATTTGTTCTTCGTGACTTGTATTTAGAGTGCAATCAAGTATAACAGAAAAATATTTAGAATTTTTTAGCTTCTCAATGATTACTTTTTTTATCTCACCCGCTAGCATAAGTATCAACTCATCTGAATCTTGTATCCAAATAATGATAATGAATCTCTTTATTTTTTATTCAACCAACATGCTCTTGCATTACGGGATCGAACTCAGCAATCATTTGAATCATACTTAAGAAGATACTATTATTTTCTTGATATATCTTCTCATTATTCCCACGATATGCTAAATTATTTTCAGCAAGAGTTTTCACCACAGATATTATTCTCAGTAATACTTGTCTCCAATGTTCTCTATCCCTATTGATTTGTTCTTGCACACTTTTATCAATTGTTTTACTCTTTTCGAATCTTAATTTCATTTCTATCCATTTACTCATGTTATTGATGTGGTCACAACTTACTTCATGCATTTTAAGTTTTTCGTTAATATTTTTCCAATCATTTACTCCATCATGTGCCAATTGAATTCTGATCCCATCATTATTGAATAGCTTACAACAAAAACAAAATACTTTATCCAAACTTTTTGAATATATCAACCATTTTTTATCATGTTTCTCTCCATTACGTAATCGTCGAACGTAATGTGTGTATGAGAAGTGTCGATTTGCTCTATCTTTCGGAAAAAGCATATCATTTTCTCTTATAGGACCTTTCATTACAATTAAATCTCTAATTCCTATTCATATTTCCCCAATTTGTTGGATCAATAAGGTCAAGAGAAAATGGTTCATTATCTCTGTCAGGAGATACCTCTTCATTCATCACATAATGTTCTTCCTCAATTATATTATTTCTGTTATCATCCTCATTAAATACTTCTTTAGTAACTACGTCTTCATTAGGTGTTCATTTACTACTATTAAAAAACTTATCAAATGCTCCCTCTTGAGATTTAATCAACTTTTCAACCTTTTCCTTTTGGTACATCCTGATTCAAATTTTCTTGTAGACATAATCATCAACAAAGAGCGATAAAACCTGATTGATGAGTCCCCAAAATGAAAGGATTCAGAAATTGGTGGTAATGGTGGTTGCGTGGTGATTGAAGTAGACAATGCGACTGTTCTGGGTTGCAGTCGAAAACGAAGAGTCCGATTATCAGGCAATTCTGCTGCCACCAAGAAATAAACAAAACAAAGAGAGAATAGATCACACACTCAGAAAAAGGAGAGAATAAACTTTTAAAAAATAAAAATGCATTTTTGGATCTTAACCTCAACGTGCAATAACTTCAAGAAACGGAAAAATGTGAAATAAGCTTCAATTTATTCAAACTGAATAAAAAAATTTAATCAGTTTTTGTTGGCTAACAATTTTACAAAACAAAAAAATGTAAAATAATATCACATTCTCATCATATGTAGTCATACTTTTATATCATTTGGAGGAGTTGTTAATATGGAATTACACTTTTCTGTGAACACATTTATCACCATTCCAAGCATAAAACACAAAAATGTATATTATGTATTTTCCCAAAATCTCTTGAGACCCCGGACCCCACATATCATCCCTTATCCCTACTACTTAATATAATATTACTTATTGAAAAATTCCTAAAATTATTGCAACCAGAAGACTAAAAACTGAAGTCTAGTTTCTGCAATCCGTAGTGTTCGAGTCCAAGCTTGCATTCATCACTCATTAGTTCTTTTTCTTTTTTTCTTTTTACTTCAAATTTGTTGCAAAATTGCAGATCAAGAGACCCTTCTTCAAATTAAGCAAAACCCATTTCTGATTCTCAGTCAAGTACTTTTTAAATTTTAATTTTTATCACAACATACACAAACACAGGTATATCGACATCGACTGCAATATGTAAATCTGTACTATGCTCATGATTTTCGAATTGAGAAATTGAAATTTAGAGATTTTGAGGTGATGGCTTTAGTTGTTTAATTCTTGTTAGGATTTTTATTGCTTTATTTATGTGAAGAAGATTTCAGATATTTTAATCTTAAAACCCTAATAAAAACGAAAGTCATGGAAAGATTTTCAAGGGTTTTCAATTTGCTAAAATACATGGAAACCAACCTCCGAATTTGTAAGACCTTAGCCGTTTGTGAAATGCAAACTCTCTGTGTGCGAACGTGCCGCAGCAGCCCAACCTCTGGATTTCGCTGGAACTTTTGCAGTGGTAGACTAGTAGAGTAGTGGTTTTTGGAGATTAATTCCGGATTGGAGTAGGTTTTAGGGATAAATTCTGGATTGGAATGTGTTCTCAGGTCTGGAGAGTGGAAAAGGAGACTGGAATGCAATTGGAAAAGGCTGTTCGTTTCCCTCTTTCATGTGCCTAAATTTTTCTTTTTAAAAAAAGAGTGATTTTGGGCTGGAGGCCCCTTAAAATATGAGGCCCAAGGTAGTGACCTCACTTGTCTTGAACTAGGGCCGGGCCTGGTGTTTCCTATTGGGAAAATTACATAATTCCAGGTCTTTGAACATCACAATTCAAACATCAGGGACCAAGATTCATAATTCAAATATCAGGTATTGATATAATAATAAAATATTAAATATTGAAATTGAATTCCCAAACCCTAGTATTTTCATCCCTTTTGTTCTCTCGCTTCTCTCTCTCTCTCTCTATAACTTTATTCCATCTAATCGCCAATCACCGCCCCTCTCTGGTGCAGTCGCCGCAGTGGCGGATCGGGTGTGGTAGTGGTGGAGGCTGCTTGTGGTGGTGGTCGATGGAGGTTGTGGTTTCAACTGGCAGCTTTGGGGTGTGGTAGTATTGTTCGATGAAGGCTGCTGTAGTTTTCAGCTTGCGGCGTCGGGGTGTGTTGGTGGTGGTTGTCAGTGGAGGTTGCTGTAATTCTCAGCTGGTAGTGTCGGGGTGTAAGCGCTGTGCTGCCAATTGCCAAAATGTCGATTGAAGGAGCAATCGGCACTTCGTGCAACTCCAACGTCGACGCCTCGCATGCGGATCTGTAGTTTTGCTGGTAAACTCGTGGGTGGTGTGTTTGGGGGTTTGGGGATTTTTGTTATGTCATGGCCCGTGGGTGGTGTGTTTGGTGGTGGTTGTGGTGTGGTGTGGTGGTTGTTGTGTGGCTTGGTGATGGCGGCGAACGGGGATGGTGGTGAACTAGTGGATCTGGTGGCGATGACGTGGTGGAGTTGGTGGGGGTGTTGGGTTTGGGGTTTTCTGCTGGATGGCGGTTGTGGTGTTGTGCAGTGTGGTGATCTCCGTATTGTTGACGGTGATGGTGTTGGTGGTGAATTTGGCGGTGGTGATGGCGTGGTTCAGACGGTGACAATGGTTCTTTTTGGTGTGCTGTGGTGGAATTGGATCAAGATCAGGTGTGGTGTTGCGGTGGTACGGTGCAATCGACGATTGGTTGGTGGTGGTTGTGACCAAGATTGGTGCTGGATGGGATCGATGGAAGGGGTGACCATAAAGTTTGGTCTGGGACCTTAAAATTTGACGATCCGTGACGATCTGTGACTAAAACAATAATCTGTGACCTCAATGATTTGGTTTGTGACCTTAAAATTTGACGATTTGTGACTAAAACAATAATATGTGACCTCAACGATTTCGTCTGTGACCTTAAAATTTGATAATTTGTGACTAAAAAAATCTGTGACTTATAAAATTTTCGATTTGTGACCTCGAAATAATCTGTGACCAATTACTTTAATGATATGTGACTGATAAATAAATTTGTAAAATATGTGACCATTAATTATTTAACTGTGACTTTAATATATTTATTTAATAAATAATTTTAATTAATTAAATACAAACCTGAATTTTGAATTTTCAAACTTCTTACCTGGCTTTTGAAATGGTGTAAAGAATACACCTTAAATATGAATTTTTCCCCATAAAGTACGGCTTCAAGCCTTTTGAGTTTGGGTCTAATAAGGATTTTTCATGTTTTAAACATTATTTTAATCATTCTAAAACCATTATATAAATTAATAACCTACTCGTGTATCTTGAAAGGTAAAATATATGATAACATATCACACTTGTACATGGAATTAAGATAAGTTAGCAAACAATTAACCATGACAATTTTTATAGGAAATATATACATACTTTTTTAAATTTTCAACCAAAATAAATAAATTTTAAAATAATAAATTATATAATTGCTTGATAATTCTTACAATTGTACAATTTAGACAACATTTTAAAGTAGAGAGAAAAGTCAATGAGTAGAAAATGAATAAAAATATGTGTACTTTAATGAGAATCAAAACTTGTTAAGTATGTGACATAATTTGTGCATTGTGACGACTAGGTACATCTGGTGCGATGTGTGTAATCCTCATACTCTATACTTAAAGGATGAAAATAGTTCGAAATAAGGAAAAATTGTTAACAAACTTAGAATTCAAATCTTAGGTAGCAACAACTTCTTGAGATGATGAGACGGTAGTGATAGACATATTGTTGCCATCAAATCACATTTTACTTTTGTAGCAATGCATTGTCATTGCTACAAAAACAACTTAAATGTATGTCCAGTTGTCGTAATGCATTGCTACAAAAACAACTTAAATGTATGTCCAGTTGTCGCATAAGACATGCCATTGTCATTGTTGCACGAGAATAATACAGTCCGACTCGCCCAACGACTCACATATGGTACGAGCCAACCCAGTGAGCCGGTCCCTCCATTTTATACCCTAGCATGGTTATACAATTAACTTTTATATAATATAAAACCTTTAAATATTCACTAAAAATATATCTCACTTCAAATTTTGAACACCAACCCAATTAACCCAATTTGAAAACGATAAAATTAGACGCATGAATGTCTCTAAACAATTTATATAGACTTAGAGGGTTGGTTGTATTATAATAAGATGTTGAGGGATTCCTCCTTTTTTTTAATTTTTTAAAGAAAAGTTTGAACCAACATACTGGTCGAACAAGGAATTAAGAAAGTGCGGTAAAAAATTTTCTTAATATTATGCAATTTGTCACTGTATAATTGCATGAGATACTGTTTTTTTTTTTTCTGAGTATTGCATGATTGAGATATTTGATAAGGATTAATTTTTTTTTTGTACATAATTTCTATATAAACAATTTTACAGGTGCTACATTGACAGCATATGGCTTTTTCTCCTACCCAACATTGAATGAAATACCACCAAGTGAAATTTTGTCATCCCTTCTGTAAAAATTCCTTGTACGCATAGCATTGCCCATTTGATAAAGACCATAACACAATCTTGCAAGATTGACTACGACATACTATGATTGTTATGCCTAGCATTGGAGAAGCTCATGCACAAATTATTTGGGTTTCGGGTATTCTCAAAATTAGTTTGACTATTGAGTATTGAGAGTTTTAATTATTTGACTTAATCTTTGTTTTGCAAATAAATTTATATATTGTTAACTCGTTAAAAGTGCAGTCCAACTCGAATAGCCCAAAGAATGAAACCCAACCGGGCAATTCAGGATAAAGGCTCAAATAGGGTTATTAATGAATGCAGTGGAAGCCCACGAACGCGGTAATACCATCGCTCAAACTTGCAAGACACCCAAGATCTGAGCGAATGAAGTACCTTGCAGTCGCCTAGAGTTATGACCCTGTTCTCGCCCAAACCTTCGAATCGACCAGGATCTTAGCAAACATAAGATATTATGGTTATCCAAAAGTGCAGTTATCAAAACAGTTATTGGGTAATCTCATCACGTTCCACAATTCAAGGAGTTCAGTTGAAGACGGTTGAACGACAAAGAGTAGTGGCAGCATTTAGAGACGGCAGTTCCACGATAAGTTGGCCACCTTGAAAAAAGTGGGCAGTTATAAAGTAATTAAGCAATTTCTAAGCGGTTGATCATAAAAAGAGCATCAAGGGAATATAAAAGGAAGAAAAGACATAGAGCAAATGATCCCGAATCAAACACTCCCAAACAGAGAATATGTAATTTCATTTCTTTAGTTTAGACTTAAAATATTTCTTTTCAGTACTTGTGTGCTTGCGCTCCTTGGATGCATTCTGTTTAAAGTTCCAATTGTAAAGTCATCACCAATAAAACACCCTATTTTGGGACTTTGTCTCAAGATGTTTGTTCCTTACACAATCGTCTGATCCCTTTTTTAATTATTAGCGACTACCCGCGCGAAACAATTTGGCACACCCAATGGGACATTGGTGTTTGGTGTTGAAGATACAAAAGGTGAAACAATATGCCTCAGAAATTCGATAAGGAAGCAACAAGTCAGGGAGGAGTCCAGTCTGTGATCGAGTGATATGAGGAGCAGCATGGCTCTCCACGAACAGATGGACAGAATCACAACAATCACAGTCGTTACGAACCAATGACAGAGTTGAGTCATCGAACCATGCGTGCATTACTCGGAGAACTCACACAGATGTCGTTGAACAGGTAAATCTACGAAGTATTCATAATATCGAAAGATTTACCCAAAATGGAAATGCACATTATGACAACATGGCCAAACAACTGAATGCTTTGAACGAAATAATGAATAAGTTAGTAGGCCAAATTTGTCAGCCAATTGTACCTCTTGCAAACCACTTTCAAGTTAGGACAATTGTGGGACATAATCCCCTGGTCCTAAGTTTAAATCAAGGGGTAGAACCACCTTTCGACCCCTCTATTTCAAACCAAGGGAGTGGTGTAATACCAAATCAGAATAGTGGCGTTGGTACATCTAACTTGGGGGGTAACCTAAATGTAAGAGATAATGTCTTAAATAATGGGCAGAATACCCCACGTGTTAATGATGGAATAAATGTCTAGGCCAATAGCAACAATGGCTCAAATCATGATAACTTTGTTACCAATCAAGAACCAAACATCAGGTCTCAAGCAAATCAACCGGTCAACCAACCTGTAGGAATTTCATATGACCCCAACGTCATGTTGAGGAATCAGATTATGGAAATCGTACAGGACCAGATGACTTTTGGAGTACGTCCTGTCATTAGGCCGACTTACACAAAGCCATATCCTGATTGGGTAGACCAAACATATCCATGGCCTAGAGGGTATAAAGTGCCAAAATTCTCATTGTTTATCGGTTTAGGAGACGTGTCTACTTTAGAACACATAGGGCGATTCACACTGTAAAGTGGTGACGTAACTGATTACCATAAAATGAGGCTGTTCCCTAGTTCATTAACAGGAGTAGCCTTCTCCTGGTTCACCAATTTGCCAATAAACTTTGTCCAAACTTGGCAACAATTGGAGTAATTGTTCTATGCTCAATTTTATAAGACTGAGTCTGAAGTTACTTTCGTCGATTTAGCGAATCTACGTCAACTGCCAAACGAATGGGCAGAAGGTTTCCTTCAAAGGTTTAAG